GCTGGGCATTTCGTCGAACAGATGACAGTCAATGACTGCATCTATTCAAAATCCCACCACCATTCTCCTCTCTTCTCCCCCACACCTAGTGGCAGTGGCGCCGTGCATTGGGGTCACCGCCATTATCCTCCCCCACACTACGGGTTTCAAAACCCTCTTGGGGTCACCAACGATGGTGCTGGTGCTGTCGACGCTACAAGTTAAAATGAGTTTCAAAACTCTTCTTGGGGTCGCCGTTCTGTAAGAGGACGTCGGTGACGAGCCCTACTCTAAGAAAACGTTCACCCCACCGACGATGCCGACGCTGACATTCAACGGTGTAGTGCCGGTGACTAGCAACAAGACGCCGATGAGCCTTACACTGCAGTTCCAATGCTAGTGACAGGTCCAATCGGTTCAGTGTTGACATAGCCAGCAAGCCCGAACTAAAACCAAAATGGTATTTTTGACGGTAAAAGGGTAGTTTGAAAATTGGAAAAAATTATCAATCATGTGGTGTCACATGCAAATGGGACCCGACGGTCAAGTAACGATAGGGGAGGATTTGGACAATTGTCAAAAAACTTAAAACTACCACAAGAGAATAATTAAACAGTAGGGGTACCACAAGAGAATAATTAAACTGTAGAGATAGTTTAAGAGATTTACCCTATTATATATAATTAATTTCTTCGTTTTCATTTTAATCGACTAATTACATGAGCAAGGCATGTGCCTCACCAATTTGATGCAAAAGCTTGCGAGCTGCATGACTCGCTAAACTTGAGGCCAAAGCCTCATACGTGATATATAGAAGGCAGTTGAGGCGGCGTAATGTTGAAGCTTATGTATCAATACCATGAGTTCAGAAAGATTTTTGTCAATAAACAACCATCATAATATATGAATGTTCCATAAACATATATAGGATAAAAGTCTAATCAAGCTAAATTTAACCCGGTTAAGCTTCAAGAAGGAACGACCTGTATGATATATCCCTATATATCATCCTTTGTTTCTATGAAAGATGTGTAATATGGGTGCCTGATCATCTGTTTGGGTCCTTTGACTTTGATCCAAGCTTTTGCCCTTATTTATTTGCGACTCCTCAACTATATGCCATTATGCATTTGCACAAGGGAGAGACTGAACTTAACGGTTTGAAGCAGACGGAAATACAACAGTTCCTATTATTAATGAAGTTAAGGCACACTGAAGAAACCATAATCTGATTATCAGTAAGAAACCATTTATTTTCTCTCCCTAAGGGTACGGAAGAGTAGCAATATGGTTATGAGCCACTGTGCCAATCCATAGCTTTCCATTTACCTCTTTTACTTCGCTAACTAATTTCATCACCTCACCCTTTTGATCCTCGAGGACTTCCAATATCTCTCCCTTTTCACTGAAGAGGGAGATAACTGTGTACATCTTCATTCCCATCAACCTTGCTAAGAAGCTCATTTTCAGAGGCAACCGAAAATATATGCTTTTTATCCATGGGTTGTGAGAAAGGACCTCTTGGGCTGGGGTTCGGCAACAATCGATCGCAACCCAGAATTGGCCCTTCTCATTTATTCGTACATTATCTGGATAGCCCGGCAAGTCAGCAACAACTTCCACGTCTCCGCTCTTGGGTCCCTCTAGCCAATACCTCATTAGCCTGTAATGTACAGAAAACACAAAAATATTAGATGCCCATTTGGGAGGGTTGATCACAGCGGCACGGATGTAGTCATTTTGAAGGCTGTTCGCTTCAGTCTCTTTGAATAGCTTATTTGGAGTGCCTCAAAGCATCACTTCAGATAACTATCAATTACCAAAGCAGAACCCATCCTATGTGAAGAGCCTTTCAATATATTTTTATCTTTAAAATCTTATCCCAAGTGTTTCAGAGCAGTTGAACCAGCTAAGCCAAATTTTCACCTCAGCCATCCCAAACAGGCCCTAAGTGCCCATTTTGGGACGGTTTTCAGTTTTTACATAGCAGCTTCACGAGGTGGGCTCTGTCTGGACGGCACATAAGCAATGTTTGGCGTGACATGCAAAAGGCCAAAAGTAGATATCTTAGAAACAAAAATAAGGCTTCCTGCTTAAACTTGTTTAGGTGATTTATCTAAAACAGTTCAGTTTAAGCAGGTCAATCAAAACTTCAAACCTCTTAAATGGGTCCTCAAGGCTTTCATGCTTCACATCAAATAGATTTTCCTATTGACATGTGAAAATGAGAGAGAGAGAGAGAGAGAGAGAGTGAGAGAGAGAGGAGGAGGTAAATTCCTTCAACCTGCAATTGGTGGTCTCAGTGAAGAGGAGAAAAGATTGATCCTTTGATAACTGTACTCCATTTGGAAACGCCAAGCCTTCTAGGACAATATGAGTTGTTTTTGTAGGTAGGTCATATCTAAGAAGCCTTCCGGTGGATTCTCCTTCCAATAAAATGAAAAAATGGTTCCTGCAAAAAGCTAAAAAAATTACTCATAGCCAAGAGAAATAACTCACAAATTGAAGCTAAATTGATGAAAACTTACAATCTGTTATATCTCTTGCTTGTGTCTGTGAAAAAGATGGAACCATTCTTGTGGATATCAAGGTCATTCGCAAAGACGATGGGTTTTCCTTCAACATGGGTTGTTAAAGGAGTGGCTATGCCTCCTTCTGGGCCAACAACCAAGAGGCCATAATAAGCATCTGCTATGTACAAGTTTCCCCCCGTTCTATCAAACCTTAGGCCAAGAGGACGGCCACATCTATGCTCAATCTTGTATTGCTTGGCCGCAGTTGAATGAATACCATTAACGCAGAGCTTCTCGGACCTTTTAAATTTGAATTCAGAATAATTAGAATCTACCATAAACTAAACCAGCTTTTTGTTGTGTACTAGCGTGTAAGACTATTTCTAATGCAGACAAGGTAAAATAAAACCTAGATAAAAATTAAACCAGAATTTCCACTTTCCTCATTAGAACTCCAATTCATTTGTACTACTGCAAATCAGGTTGTATTGCAAACAAATGGACCCTCTGGTTCACTACTTCAGCGAAATGGTTCGCTACTTACCAATTCGGCGTAACAAGTGCAAATGTCTCCCAGCCAACATTGTCACCCATCCACCTTACAATGCGTCCATCTGCCAAACCAGCGTAAGGCCCTTGTCCATTAAGATCAAACTCTAAAGACTCAGGACCAAAGACTTCATTCACAAATTCCAGCTTCCCGGAACCCAACCGACTCTGGTTGTCTTTGGGCCAGTTCCCCATGACTCGCTTGTAAGGTGCAACATCATGCTTTACTGGTCTGAAGTCTCGCCCTCCAAGTGGACCCAACTGAAAGGGGTCCATGAAAATGAAGGCCATGGCTAACGCAATGAGAAAGAAAACTGGGTGTTGAAACAGTACTGTCTCATCTTTGAATAGGTTTTTCTTCTCCATGAGGAGACCTTGGTCAGGTTAGGGCGCAAAGATATGCGAACTCATCGGATTTTATGTTTTTCCAGGACCAACACATGCATTTGGTGTGATAGCTCAATGGCGAGGGAGTAGGTTGGCTTTAGTTTGTCCTTGATTCTCGTATTACTTCCCTTGTGGAGAGATACCGGCACAAGGCTACAATTCCTTGTTAGAGAATATATTTAACAAGACAATCTGACCAATCACAAATGAATTAGACAAGGTCAGATTTAAATTGTTTTATTTGGGCTCAGTTTGAAAGTAGTACAATACAAATATGTACAGTGGAAATACATAGTAAAAAATACAAGGTTTTGCACTCTTAAGGCTCCGCTTGTTTGTGATACAAATGTCGAACCAGGGTATTTATGTACCCCGGTTCGTGTTTGTGAGTGTTTTTTTAAAACGTAAAAGAGTAATGATTATCAGAGCAAAAATGTATTTTCTGACAGTTTTGTATTCTGAGAAGAGAGCATTATTGTACTTATTTTTTTGATACAATTTCGTGTTATTTTGATAATTAATTTTTTGACCAAATTTAATACATTGGAGCATAAGATAGTTGAAGAATTTAATGATAGGTCCATACTTTTGCACCAATTTCAAATAAACAAGATGAATGCAAAAATGATTTAAAATGTAAACCATATTTACATTCATGAACCAAAAAATAAATAAATATGTAATGTACATATTTACATTTGCATTGCAACCAAACACAGCATTAGGAGTTTTCTGTTCTGTATAGCCCAGAAACCTTATTGATTCATCTTATGTATTAATTGCATTTAATATTTTATCTTGTCATATAAAAATGAGAATGGTCATTGTCTTGGTCGAATGACCTGATTTTTATAAACTGTTACGGTCAAGCAATCCATGTTTTGCTTGCAAGGGAGACTAAGAGCCTAAAAAGACATACGTGGAGAGCCAAACTCTCCACGTGATGGTTTCAGAAAATTTAATTTCAAATATTGGTTCAATTTTATATTCCTACTATTTGTGCAACTGCGTTGGGTGGGAAGTGGGAATATTCATCAAAAGGCAAGCAATGGTACACCTCTCTGCAGAATTCGAAGAAAGGGTAGTAAGGAATTCATGTCCGGAGCGATTTTAGATTCCACCTAAGGCACCAAGTAAAATTTAAAAAATAAAGACTATTATTTCTGTAGGTTTTCTTGATTTGGGGCAAGTAATGGTGTGAGCTTCGGGAAGCTTATCGTCGCATCAAATATATGGAGTCACCACCCATTTTTTAGAGAAAATGGGCTCTCATTTTCAGACTTGAAAGTTTAACTTTAGCTCTTTGATAGTGATTTCGTCCTCCATGGAAAAGACACTGAACCGAAAGGTTTTGGGTCCCAAAGATTAGGAGAGAGAAGGTGTTATGCACCACTCTCTCCAAGCTATTATACTAGCCCAATACGAGAGTAATTCAGGCTTAAATTCCAGTGAAACACGAATTAGCAAGATTGCTCAAATCTTATGAAATTTGGCGAAAACGTTCCCAACTTCCCCCATAATTGATTTGAGGTAATATTATCGAGTCTTAGGTATTGGTTTTCCTAAGACCCTCGCCTCTCTACCTCTTTTTCTCAATCTGAAGGAAGCTGGGAATGCAAATTTCCCAGGGCTTTAGGACTTTAAGAAATCTGAAACCAAACTGAAAGCAAAGAGACAGTGGAATGAGAGGCTCACCTCTCGTGTACAACCTTGAAATAAACATTTTTGCAGCTAAAACGACTTCAAACAAAACTTGAGCAAGGAACGAAGCAGAGAGGGTGTCAATTGGACTGGGATTGGATCCAATCCGATCTAGTCCAATGTGAGTCCATTATAAATAGACCAGGTCCAATCCAACCCAATGAATGTTTTGGACCAATTTAGACTAGTCCAATTCAATGTTTGGACCATCCAATTTGTACAAATTCATTTTGATTTAGATTGGTTTCAACCCAAACCCGATCCATTGACACATATATTCTTATCTTATATCAATGGACTAGATATTGGCTTAATCCAACCCAATTCAATATAAATTTGTTACGGATAGACCAGGTCCAATCCAATCTAATAAATATTTTGGACTGGATTGATCCAATCCAATATGTCTTGTTGGTCCGTTCAATTCGTCCAAATTTATTTTGGACTACATGGGGTCCAGTCCAAAACTAGTCCATTGACACCCTTAGTTTCTGGTGTTAAGTTTGGAAAACAAGGGATGAGGCTTGAGCTTGGCTTCAGTGATTTCGGGATTTTAAGTATAATGGGTGTATTATAGAAGTTAGGAAACTGCTCCTCTCCTCCTCCCCCCCCCCCCTCAAGCTCAAGTTGGGCCTCTTTTTATAGAGGAAAAGGGAGGGAGATGGGTTTGAAATTCATACAACTACAATGTCTATGATTCAACAGAGCTCTTTCACTGAAATAGGCAAAGATTTTAAGAGGGAAGGACTTGTAGTTGACCTTCCTTCTTTATGCAACAAGTTTTCTCGAGTTTGGAATGCTTCTTATGGATTTCGTGTATCCAATGAGGGATTGGGGTGTGCTAGACATTGCAGCCCCATATTTGGGGCTGACAATGGCAAAAAACGAAAATTTGATGAACTTTTAAATGGTTTTGTCCTTTATTAGTTTCAAATTAGGGTATGCTTGGTATTTTAAGCTTTTTAAGCCTATTAGGCTCGAATTAATTGGTCCAGGTGTTTTAATGGGTCAAGTAAAGAGCTGACGTCAGTCCCCATCCTCTTAAGATCCTAGGATACACAACTGATGTGGTGATTCAATTTGGTGCATCGAAATAGTGTCTTCCTAGTTTAATGGTCAAACAGGTGAATTAAGACGTGAAATTTGACGTGCTAGGGTTTTTTGAGTTTTTGAATTCAAGAGGGAGGAAGGCTTAGTTGCTACACTTGTTTTTGACCTCTAAAGGCTAAAATTTTCTTGTTATTCTATTCATTCTTTGATGTGTTCTTGCTGTGTTTCTCCTATAATTTTCTTGAATATGTTGAATTTAATGATGTCTAGCTAAATTCTCTTAGCTAGAGTTTAGATGGATTTTGATCTTAAGATTATATAATTATTT